AAACCTCAGAATTAGCATATCCAAGACCTGATGGTAAACCATCATTTTCTCTTCTTTAACTTGCCAATCTCAGTTGGCTTGAGACACAACTAAGTTTGAATCCCTGATGACGTCCAACATTTTTGCCCCTAGTTCCATGGCGGCTTCTAGACCAACAATGCACGCCTCATATTTTTCTTTATTGTTGGATACTTTGAACTAGAGTTTGAAGGCTAAGGGTATATGGGAGTCATCAGGTGCTATCAACAACACACTAATCACATAACTGTATTGGTTGGCTGCTTCGTCAAAGTACACCGTCCACGTTTTCTCCTCTATTTGCAGAATATCTTCATCTAGGAAAGAGTACTCCACCATTTCATCCCCCTCTACTAGGTGATCTGCCAGGAATTCCACTGCAACTCTCCCTTTAACTGACTTACGTGTAACATATTTAAGATCAAATTCAGAGAGAAGAAGCAACCAATGGGGTAGCCTACCAGTAAGCGCTGGTTTCTCAAAGAGATATTTGATGGGATCTAATCTCAAAACTAGGATTACAAAGTAAGTTAATAGGTAATGCCTTAACTTTCGGGTAGCCCATACCAAGGCTAGACAAGATTTCTCAAGGGGAGTGTAACGGGTCTTGTAATCCAGCATTTTCTTGCTCAAGTAATAAATGGCTTTCTCCACCTTAGCCTCCGACTCCTAAGCTAACATGCATCCCATGGTTAAGTTTGTTACTGACAGGTACAGAATCAGCGGCCGGTTCTGGAGGTAATAACACAGGCGAATTCTGCAGGTACTACTTGACCCGTTCAAAAGTGAACTGACAACAATCATCCCATTGGAATTTCTTTCCTTTCTTCGGGAGACTAAATAGTGGTTCACAAGTCAAGGTTAGTTTTGAATTAAATCATCTTATGAATTGCACTTTATCCAGAAAGTCGCGCACCACCTTTTCAGTCATTGGTGGTGGCATTTCTAAGATGTCCTTGATTTTGGAAGTATCTACCTCAATTCCTTTCTATGTGATTAGGAATCCCAGCATTTTTTCCATTGTCAGGCCGAAGGTGTATTTTTGCAGGTTCAACCTCAATCTATACTCTCTAATCCGCTGAAAGAATTTCTTCAAGGCGATGTAGTGGCCCTCTCAATCTTTAGACTTGAGAATCATGTCGTTCACATACACCTCAACCTCTTTGTGGATCATGTCATGCAGAATGGTAGTTGCGGCCCTTTGATAAGTGGCCCAAACATTCTTCAACCCAAACGACATGACTCGATAGCAATAGGTGCCCCACGAAGTAGTGAAAGCGGTCTTCTCCCTATCCTGAAGTGCCATCAGAATCTGGTTATACCTGGAAAACCCATCCATAAATGAGAACAATGCATGGCCTGAGGTGAAGTCTACCAACTCATCAATATGCGGCAGTGGAAAATCATCCTTAGGGCTAGCCTTATTCAAATCCCTAAAGTCGACACAGACTCTAATTCTGCCATCCTTCTTTGGGACTAGAACAATATTGGTCAACCACGTCGGATATTCAGATACAAGCAAGAACCCTACCTCAATTTGTTTGGTAACTTCTTCCTTGATCTTCAAAGCCTAATCTAAACAAACTCTGAGTAGCTTTTGCTTAACTGGCCGAGCCTCAAGGTCAAGAGGGATCCGGTGCTGTACAATCTCAGGATCGATTCCAGGCATGTCTTCATAGGACCACACAAAAACATCTTTGAAATTTTTTAATAAAGTGATTAAACGCTCGCGTTCCTCCGAAGACAACGTGGACTCAATCTGGACCAAGTGTGGATCCTTCTCAGTACCCACATTAATAGCAATGATTTCATCTGGACAGGGCTTAACATACCTCTCCTCCTCAAAATCAACCTAGTTTTTCAAAGCCCAAGAAATTTCTTCCTCTTCGTTTAAGTCAAAATTTTGGAAATCAAGATCAGTACAACAAACCAAAGGCACAGAGTAACAAGCAAAGTCCACCTCATTCCCATTCAAAAGATCTGGCTCCTCAGTTATAATGGACTAAAAAGAAGAAGAAAAAAAAAAAAGAGGACTGGGACACGATTTTGGCATCCAGGTTACCAGTCTTGGAGATGCCAGACTCTGAAGAACTCTAATCTGATTTAGACTCCACAGACTCAGTGGAATCAGACTCAAACTCACTATCTGATTCAGAACTGTCGACGGTGCCCTTCTTAAACTTCCAGATCAGGCGCGGAGCCTCAGATGCATCCACGATAAGACTAGTAAAATCCTCTGCCGATTTATCCTCGATCATTGAGATAGTAAAACTATCCCCCAAGTTGGCAGACTCAACTCCAGCAGTAGAACTCGCCAGTAAGTTAGCCAGTGCCTTTCCCTGCAACTCCTCTTCTTCAATAACCAAGCTCGCAGCCCTTCCTTGATCTGTACCAGTGCTTAGGTCTGCCTGCTCATCCTCCTCTTTTGGTAACCGGTGCCCGAAGAAGATTTCGAACCCAAGATACCTAGTCTTCATCTCCCAGTCATACCAAGGCTCCAGGAATCCATGGAAGGGGAAATCTTCTCCTTGGCAGACAAAGTGTTCATTCAGGGTTCCCCATATTGGTTTGTGGACTAACTCATATTGCTTCCCAGTCCCATTTGCTTTGATTCTTCCTCTCAACTCCTTACCCTTTCTTTGTCAGTCTGCAATGGTAGGTTTATATCCCAGCCCAAAAGTGTGGGGATTATGGCTGATCTCCTTGGCAACAGTACCTCCCTGCATGCTGCTTTTACCTAGTCTTAATCTCGGAAGATGCCCTTGTTTATTCATCATGTAGATTGACTAGTCACTTACATAATTTCCCTCATCTTCTTCCATGATGTTCTAGACCAACCGAGCTTATGCTAAAGAGAAGCCGAAGAGAAATACATCCTCTTCTCCGTGTATGATTCCCAGCACCGGTGTAATAGTTCCTTGGGGAGAGTGAATTGCAAAATTGCCATACATAGTAGCAATCCCACCTTGAAAGGGGTACTTCACCTGTTGGTGAACAGTTGATGACACAAGCTTTATCTGGTGGAGCCAAGGCCTTCCCAGTAGCAAATTAAAGGTTGTTGGTACATCCATGACATGAAATTCTACCTCATGTTTGGATGAGCCGATTAGGATATGGCTTTTGAACATTCCCATAACATCCCGACTTGTATTGTCATAAGCCCGGACAGCTTGGGTCGTGGGTGTAAAGTCAATCGGCCTCAAACCGATGGCATAGGCAGTTCTCACTGGACATACATTGATCGCCGATCCGGTATCTACTAACACCACTAGAATCTATTTTTTTTGACTTTCCAAGGTTACATATAAGGGACAGTTGTGGTTGGCGCCCTCAGGAGGCAATTCTTTATCCGTAAAGGATATTACTGGCATAACATCCCCAGAGGTCACCAATGACACCAATTGGTCAGCAGTGGTGTCAATAGGCAGTTTGGTTTGGTTCATTGCTTCGAACAGGGCTTGTCTATGTTCCCGAGATGCCATTATCAGTCCCTAGATAGATATGTCGGCCTGGATCTTCTTTAGTTGTTTCAAGACGAGGTTTTCTTTAGCATCCTTGTCCTTTGCTTTCTCAGCCTCTCTGTTGGAAGATTCTGACTAATCTAAAGTCAGGGGTTTAAAGTACCGACCACTGCGGGTCAGATGATCAATCTCATCAGTGTACCACGTATCATCAGGGGTATCATCTTTCCACCCTTCATTCATATATGCATGGCTTAGATCGCTATCTTCCCACCACTCCCCCGCGATCATGGCTGGACTACTATCAGGTTCTATTCTAAGCATGTTAACACCACGTTCCCAGTTATCATACCATTCTTCCTCCACTACAGCTCGGGTTTTTGCATCCTGGTACTTTCTGAGTTTCCTTAACATTCTGTTCCGATCACTGGGTTCCCACTTGATGTTCTTAGCGTTTTGAACACTGTCGGTTGTGAACTCAGCCTCTTCTTTCTTTTTTCCCCTTTTCTATTCCAGGGCTATTTTCTTCTAGATTTCTTCTACTCTCTCCCGTTGGAATTGTTCCAATGCCTATTCTTTCTCGGTCAGAGGTGTAGTCTCAACCTTCCCACTAGCACTATTTTCTTCTTCCTTCTCAGTCTCTCCTATCTGTTCCTCCATATCTAACTCATCTTCACTCAACCATCCCTTGCTTGTTTCTGGCTAGCTCGGATCCCACCATCCCATCTGAACACAACTTGGATCTTCTTCCTCGAAGAAGTAAAGATCCTCCATATCCTCTTCCAATTCTGCCAGATCCTCCTCTAGGTATGCTAAGTCATTCAGGCCTTGCTCGGGCCACTCATTCTGATTCTGAGCCATTAGGTCTTCCCCGATAGCATTAATGCTGAGAAAGTCTGGCAGCATGAATATCAGCTTCGGCTGATCGATGGCCACAATGTATAAAATGGGATTGTACTCATCCGCAAGTGAGACCCCCTTCTCTATGACACAGGTATCAAACAACCCTTTCTTCAGTGCATTCTTCTCTCTCTTCATTTCTACTGCCACAGGCTTGGATTGGGTTTGTGGTGTTAGATCCATCATGCACATGTCGGTGCCTTCTGGAATAACTACCTCTAGTTTTGGTAGGTGAGATGAGGTAATGTATGTGCTAGGGTTGAATGTGGGTGGTAGTGTATGGATGTGGTTAATTTTTCTGGGCGAGGGGACTTGGTTATGTGCAGAAAGTGGGTTGGTTGTTATGTTGGGTTTGGAAGGTGGGGCAATGATTTTGTTGTCAATGAGATCCTGGATCTCATGACATAGACGGTAGCACATGTCTGTGGGATGGCCATGGTATTGGTGGAAGATACAATACTGGGTAGGGTCATGTTTGGGTGGTAATGGGTTTGGAAGTGGACAAGGATCGAGAGGCTTGAGATGCCCCTTCTGCATTAATAGCTTGATAGCATGGGTTAGGCTTGTATTGAGGGAAGTAAAAGTTCTTCGATTCTAGGGTGGACCGGTACTTTGTGAAGTTTATGAGGTTGTGGCAATAGTAAAGGGATCAGCCATCTTGGCCATTGAAACAACAATATTGACATCTGCAGGCCATGGAATAGTGCTACTACTAGCATTCGTACTCCAGGAGAATGACCTTCTTGCAGGTTTGCTTGTTCTATGGATAATACCATTTTTGAATGCACTCTCAATCTGGACCCCCAGCTCATGTAAGGAACCAAATGTAGACAATGGTGCCACTATCATTCTCTACAACATGTCTAGCTCGGGGTTTTGGACCACTAGCCAGACTTGTTCTCTTTCGGTAGGCCTATTTGTCATTCGGGCTGCCTTGGCTCTCCACTGAGCGATAAAATCGATGAATGATTCTTTGGGGTTCAGGGTAGTAGCCTCCAACTCACTAATGGTTACTTCTATCTGGGTGTTATATGAATGCTGATTGACAAATGCCTCAAATAGCTCCTCTCATTTCTGTTTTGTTGAGTCTTCCAACTTAGCGTACCAAATGGTTGCCACATCAGACAGGGTTCTCCCAAACAAGGAAAGCTTTTGTGCCCTAGACAAACCCATGGGCCTCAATACATCTGAGAATAACTAGACATGCACAATCGGATGCCCACTCCAATTGAATCTGTCGATGTGGGGCATCTTAAATTTCTCGGGTAATATGACTGAAGCCTTGGTGTACCCATCTTCGATATTTGGAATGCAGTTGAAGCCCTGGGATTTCTTCAATGCTTTCTCCAATCTAGCAATCTTGGCTAAGGCCAGATCAATTTTATTGATATCAAAAGGAAAAATTTCTGCAGGAGGTTGGACCGGAGGCCGATAAGCTGGAGTTGGGAAAAACATGTCCTGAGGATCCAGAACTGGCAGATTTTATACTGGTGGGGGTAGATCCGGGTTTGGCAGAGCGGCCAGGATCGGATGCACGATTGATGCTGATGCCCCAGATGTACGTCGTAGATTGGCGATAATTTCATCTTGTGCAGCCATCCTCTGGTTTACAGTGTCCATGGTTCTTTGGAAAACCGTCATCATGGCAGCAAATTCCTCCACATTCTGGGCTGTATTCCATGACATTGTCAGTTTGGGTGAACTAGATGCTGGTGAACTGATTAAGTGAGAATGGATAAGTATTTGCGGAGTGCTTTGTACTGATACTACTAACTGTCTATTCCTTCATCGTTGAGTGACTGGCGGAAGCAAGCCTAACACGGGCTAACCACCAACAAGGTCTTGAGCTTTGTAAAGCCTGCCAAAATGAGTCCACACAACTTGGGGAATATTGGGTCTTTCTGAAGCTATGACAGTAAATTACCTAGCAAAAAGAAAGAAAGAAAAACAGGATCAAAACTCAGACAGCACTTCGACCCCAATTCACAATGGTCATAACACATAGCTGAACTATAATCCCCACTGAACTCTGTTCTCAAACTCATACTGATATGAACCACCCTGTACAGTTTCATTGAAAAAGGCACATACCAAGTAAAAGAACCAAAACACCCCTATTAAGAGGGGTAGGGTTATCCTGTCCTAGATTTTTGGCATAATCTAGGCTGCACTATTTCAAACAAATGGTTTCACGCAATCCTGCACGGGTGAGCATCCTACTCGAGTTTGGAATAGTCACTACAGTTTCACTATATGTATCTAGGTCAAATGGTCAAAAGGGTACCTCAGCAAGATTACCTAATATACCTCTCACACCCAACACCGAGAAGTGAAAGATAGATCAAGCAGTACAGCGGTGATCCAGATCCAAGGGTTGTGTTCCCAAACATGGCAGAGCCCACGACCGATCAGCCTTTTGGCAAGCATTTGGGCAAACCTCCGGTAAACCGTCCAGGAATAGCAGATGGCAAACACAATGACTTAAGCACACCAATGCAAATGCAATGCAAAGAACATATAAGTGTAGACAAAATTTCAAATCATGAAGTTTGAGTCAAGTTCTCTAAATCCCCAGCAAAGTCGCCAGAAACTATAGCTCGACTGTTTGCGCTCCTTTCGGAAGGCGAGAAACCCTACAGTTCAGACTCTACCTGTGGTTTTGAATTTGATTTCACAAGTGTAATGTGAAATAGTGAAAACACAAAAAGAGTCCAATTCCAGCAATTCTTTTTGGAAAATCAATGTTTTGAATATAATGCCAAAAATGGACTGTTTTGCCAGATTTTAGAGTCGCCACCTAAATATTTTTGAAAGATTTAGGAAACCCAAGACTCGTGCCAAAGGCCATTAGTCTGTCATCACTAAAGTTGTCTCGGCTCGAGAACTTAGGTACAAGAAGGCGAAAACATCATGAATTGAGCAACCCCCTCACCCGATCAAAGATCGGCCTCTACTATTCATGATGTAATTCTTATTTACATTATATGCTCTTAATCCGATTATTAGCTATATTGCTGTGTGATTCACACAAGTATAGACTAATGTTTGCAAGAATTGAAACAGTTGATTTTATGTTTTATTTGAAATTTGTTTTATGAATTTGCCACTCGAAAAAGTGAGCTAAAATGGACATTAATCAAATTATCCCGAGTCAAGCAACTAGCCTTCATCCACGGTCAATCAAATAGTTATATCATTTAAGCAACTAGCCTCATGGTGAGCATGCTGAATATGGCAACAATCATACTCATGCGATTATGCTAAAGCGAGTAAGAGCTCGCCTTGTAGTCCAAGCCAAAATAAACAAAAGAGTTAGAAAAAATGCATGATCCTAACTAATGCAATATGACTAATGCAACGCATGCGATATGCAATTACTAGGCTCAATTACTTAACATAACATGTGAATCAATTTGATAGCATGCAGTCTAAGCACGTATTCAAAGAGGCATTTAATTAACGATGTAAGTTAGAATGATGCGCCGAGCCTCAATGCATGCAATACAAGTGGATGCAAACATGAGAGATGCTAAATGAAACATGATGTTTCTAAACTAACCATCATAAGCAGGTAAATAAAAGAGAGAAAGACGTAGGGTTGGAAGACATACACGTTATTACAACATTTGCACCCTCACACAGGAGAATCCGAATAAACTAACTAGCTAAGCTAATTACTACGAATTACAAACTGAATGAAATAATCAACTAAACTAGCTAATTAATTATTACAACAAATTAACTAACTAATTAATTAATTAATTACAAATCAAAATGAATTAATTAATTACATGAATACAACATGAAAGAAGTGCTAAGCTAGCTATTCTAATTATTCTGCCTCGGGAAACGAGGAATGCTCATACATGCATGGATTCCCACCCAAAAAAGGCCATTGTTCTGCTACCAAATGCCTCTGTTGCACAGTAGAACACTTGCATTGTTTTTCACCTCAAAACCAACTTTATTCTGTTTGAAAAAGGCACTACTGGATTTTGCAAAGGTGGCCGGCAGGCTAGAAATGGTGGCCTGCTGGCCACAAATGATGGTCTGCCGTCCAAAAAAAGTGGCCTGCCAGCCACTGATGCCTGGTTTTTCCTGCTACAATAGAGAGCAAATAGAGCAAGCACAGGGTGTTTTCGAGGGTTGTTTGCACACTTACCCCTCCTTATCATCAAACTACTCAAAAAAGTAGTAAACTTGATTCACAAACCATCAATCGATGCAATTTCATTTCATAATAGCCTATGAACCAAAGTGTGCAAGTTCAATAAATGCAACAAATAAGACTCTCAAACCCCCCTCCCTATCATGGATTTATCAAGGGAAGTGGTTAACAATGACTCTTGAACCGTTTTCATCACTATTGAGTATGAAACGACTCAAGACTCAAGGGTTCAATTAACGTCCGATTGAACCCAAGTTGAGTTATTATCTTACATCATTTTAGTCCAAGTTTTATTATTCCATTTTAATTACCTCTCCATTTTTTAATTCATTAAGTTCAAAGGTGAGCTTTAAGTACTCTAATGGAAAGAAGCATCAAACCAAGAGTTGTTTTAGGCGAGAGAAGTATCATGCCGTTGGTAATGAACCCCCAAAGGGATTAAACCATTAAGCATAAAACCTCAATCTCATGCTTTAAACAAGCAACTAGTTTGAACCAACTTTCAAAGCAAAGCAAAAGCCAAGAAAGGAGGGACGTTGCAGAAGTGATTAGGGGTGAAAACAAGTATGGAAAGCCATAAACAAATGTTATCAACTCAAATAGGATGGTGGCTAAGGCCTAAATCACCAAACCTACGAGGACAATTAAACTACAAGCATGCAATACAAGGCTCAAATGCAATGAACAACCAAAAACAATCCTAAAACGGTGCTAAATAAGTCCTAAAACATGCTGGAATTAAGACAAAAAAAGCTAGAATAATAAGCTAAAACATAGAGCTATGTAAGCTAGTGAACAAGACACAAGGAGGGAGGCTAACCCCTCCAATTTTGGACTTCAAAACATGTTTTTAGCCACTGAAATAACTCTGAAATTCAGTATTTAAAAGCTCAAAAAAATATATTGTAAAGGCAGGAAACACAAGGGTAAAAGCTAAAGAAGCAAGGTGGAAAGAAAGGTGAACCACCCCTCCATCCTTTAAGGCCTTACACCACAAGTTTCAACCCAAAAATACAGAGTTTATACAACCCAAAAACAAAAGAAAAACAGTAGGAAAAGAAGCAACCAAAGCAATGAAACAAGCTAAGCCTTATACCTCTTGAAAAGAAGAACACTTTTAAGAAATAATTCAACACATACACACCCTCAAGAGCTCAAAGTAGGCTCAAAAGTACCTCAGCTCAAAGATGGCAAGGTTTGGTTAAGAGTGTATAGGCAAAAGCTCAAGAAATTTCAAGAGAGAGAGAGAAAATTAATTTTGCTCTAATTTTTCTAACCTCCAAAAATGGAAGAGGAGGTCCTCTATTTTAAAAAAAAAAAAAAAAAAAAGGCCACTCCCTCAAAAGCATCCATCCATAAATGTGGAAGTAGATGCAAGCATCTGTGCAAACATCTGGCACAGTTGGCATAAAATATCTGCAAAACACACTTGTGGTCGGCAGGTCACACACTTGGCCGGCAAGGCACAAGGGTGGCCGGTAGCCAAAAGGGATGCCGGAAGCTCACAAAAATGGGCCTGTAGGTCCCAGGTTTTTTAGGTTTGAAAAGTTGGGGTTTTTGTGCAAAAACAAGGCACAAGGTTTGTAGGGTTTTGAGGCTCAGAGCAATGGCATTCCGCTGAGGGCTT